GTAAAGGATTTATTACAATAATTGTGAGCTAGAGGTGTGCTGCCTCCTTTGCACTATTTCTCTGGAGTGCAGCGCATCTCTGGATGGCACGCGACATAACTTCCGGGCAGTGGGGGGCGGGTTTCCTAGTGGAGGGGCAATCATACATCAAGTAAAGAGAAAGGACAGTTGAGGGCACAAGGAGATGTTGAGAGCCTACGCAGAACACGTGGGATGTGCACACAAATACGGGCAGATGAAAAGAAAGGACCGGGTTGACGCAATGCTCCTCCACCCTTCCGCTGAGGGCCCCTTACGAATCTACGCCGCCGGGCAATCCGCCTGCCTCCGCCGCAGTGGCCCTCAGCTCGGGCTGCAGAATGAGCAGCGCTGCCTAGGGAACTTTCAGCAATGCACCGAGTGGTCCCTCCACGGGCTGAACCAATTGGAGTCTGAGGACAGGACACAGGTGCTGAACAAACCCTAAGTGTCCAGGTCATCCCTGGGGTGGGGACCATGGCCTCATGCCTTTCTTCTCATCGCATATGGAAGCCTCAGTGAAGACCCAGGAAAAACAGCAGAGTCGAGAATTGCAACACCCGGAGACAGATCTGTCTCTCTCCCTTGCACCTCTGAGTGGCTCACGAAGACGCAGGGCCGCCTTCACCCTGCAGTGCGTCCCCATGTCACATCGCTGCCCAACACCCTCAGTCCATGCGTGATGTCCAGTCCGCTCAAGTCACGGGCGAGCGCCCCGGGCAGGGACGAGCGCTCCCCCGCCCACCGGGCTCTCAAGATGGAGCCCACAGTGCTGACTCCAAGTCCAGAAATGTGGGAAAGTTTATTTATTTCTCCAAAACATTCCTGATTTGTAATGTGCTTTCTAAAAATGTTCTAGCTGACCAAGCCCCTGCTATATTTAGCCACCGCATTGAAAAGAAATGCTCTTTACACTTTATAAGGCAGGCCACGAAATGCACGGGTTTAGGAAAAACTGCTCCTCCGGGCGGTCCCTTTCTCCCCAGGAGAGGGGCGGAGCCTGTCGCTTGGTCTCCGGGAACGGTCACAGCGCTGGAGGACAGAAAGAAAGAGTTTTATTCATTCCCAGGGCCCCTGAGTTCACACTGGCTAGACAGCCCTGCGAAGTCTCATCTGAGTTCCTTGTACCGCCCGGGGAAAGCCAGCCGGTGACAATCATCTCTCCCGTGGTTTTCCTAAGATCCCCTGCGGGGCGCAGCAGCTTATTTTGCTTTTAGTTTCATGTTCAAATGGTTGGGTCATCTCAAGAGATGAAACACTGCAACAAAGAGACGAAATGGACCCCAGCCTGCCCGGGCAGGAGAGCCGGAGACGTCAAGCCTCCCTGATTTCCCACAGAATTCTAGAACATGAGCGGAGTCCTGGGTCATGATCCTGTTGCAGAACTGAAACGTCCAGCAGTCCTACCATGTCTTGAGTGTGTTCCGTGCACCGGACGTTTTGCATATAGCCACTAATTTAACTCTGACAAGGGCCCGCATGTGGGAGGCAAGATCATTGTTCCCATTGTACAGATGAGAATAGGCGCTGCTGTCATGAATTTTATATCCGTCATTTAACTCACTCCTGTGAGGCCGTTACCAATGTTATCTCCATCCGTACAGATGACACGAGCTAAGGAGCAGAAGAGTTAGGGCACAGAGCCTCCGTCTGGGGGGGATCCAAAGCCACGGGCAACAAGGTTAACATATGACCCCCCACCCCAACATCCGTTACTGAACGGCGAGAGTCATAAGATGTTAACGGCAGGGATATTTCGCGTCGCTGGTGTGTCGGGGTAGATCTAGAAGTGGGGGGAGCTGTGGATGGTGACCAGTCCCCCTCCCCGGGAGGACTGTGCAAGGCCCAGGGCCCCAGGCAGCAGGGAGCTCACGATATGTGATGCCGCACATCGTGAAGACACAAGTTGTTCATGCTGTCAAGGTCAGCGTGACCTTGTGGGTGCCGGGTGTCATCCTCCACCCTTCCGAGAAAGCTGGATGCAGACACCGCCCTGAGGTCGAGACACCTTCCTTTGTGCCCTACTTCCAATGGGCTCGAGTTTGAGGACACCCTCCCCAACACAAGGTCCACACGTTCTAGAAGGACAGTAGAGCGTCGGCCACATTTTGCTTCCGACACTCAACAAACCGGCACAGAGCCACGTAAGATCGCTGGCCGAGGCCCCTGGTGACTCAGCAAGTCCTTCCCGGCTCCAAGATGTGAAGGCAGAGACAGCACGGCTGGGGCAGGCCCCTGGCAGCCAAGTCTAGGCCCAAGACTGGGTCCCAGCGGAGGGTCTAGAGCCATCTCCTCTTGGAAGCTTACAGGACAGGAGAAGCCAATCTTCGAGAATGCTAGCTGCGCTGCCGGTATTGTCTGAGAGGTGGTGGCCCCGGCTCTTCTACAGCAGTGGTGTCGGCAGGGTGGCTGCCACTGCCTGGCCAAGCCTCACCCTACCCCCCCGTCCCCTGTCCTTTCTCAACCCCTCCCTGCCCCTGCAGGTGGACCCCACCTGGGCCCCTTGTAGGCTAGACTTCCGGCAGGTTTCAGCCAATCAGAGGTGTCAGCCTGAGACCGGAAGGCAGGAGAGGACAGAGGCGGGGACATTTCTCCATAGTTCTCACCCTTGCTGGTCCCTGGCGGTCTCCTCCACCTGCCGCACGTCCCCATAAATAGTCCCTCCATCCTGGCCTTTTCTGCTGACCCAGCTAAGCGGGTTCTATGTCCCGCCAGGAACCTGATTCTTATACCGGATGAGAAAAGAGGCTGGGGGCAAATCTTTGCCCCACTGCCTCTTCCTCCCCCTCCTTCCTCACTGTAAATAAAAAAGCTGAGTTGGCCGTGTACCCCCCAGATCCCATTCTCCCCCCCCCAAATTTTGGTTCTTGGGTTTGATTTTGGTTTAGGGGCCCCCGGTTTCTTAGGCCCGGGGCACTTGGCTTTTGCCGGCCTTTTGGGGGGCCGGCCCCCCCCCCGTTGCGGCCCAAGCCCCCCCACCGTCCCGCTCAGCAATCAGGCCCCACCGCAGGTCACTGCAAACACCTGTGGCATCTACCTGAGCCCTGGGGGACCCGGCTTTTGGGGCAGTCTGGAGAAGGAGTAGTAGCCGTGGAGAGAACGTGCCATTTGGCTATTCTGACGCATTTTCTAAGCTGCTTTAAGTGTGTCTCAAAAGAGTTTTACTTTCCCAACAAACTTGTGCTCTTTATTTTTAATAAAGAACTTCGCCCCTTGTCATTTGTGATTTCACTCTATGAAACAGCCTTTACTTCAGGGAAGCAAGTCGCCAGCCGTCACGAAGACAGGAAGTGCACGAAATCGCGGTTCTCACTGAATTTTCTCGCTCCTGGGTGCAGCTGGCTACTAGGAATGTCGCCCGCTTTTGTGACGTTAGCATTTGCCTACGCACGCCGGGGCAGGCTGGCTCTGGCTTTCAGCTGCGACAATAACTGCATGGAGCTGGCTCTTTAACGCACATGGGGTATACACGCGTGCCGCTCTGTGAAATGGTAGGGACACCCATAGCCCCGTTTCGGGGAGGCACGATTGCATCCGAAAAGGGCTGAACAGGTCCTGCTCAGACCCTCAAAAAATCTTATGGTGCGTCAGAAAACCCCGGAGGCCACCAGCTTCTACCAGAGCCAGCAAAGCAATAGGCCTTTTCAGACTGCTCTGTCCTGGAAGGAAAGTTCTCAAAGCTGGTGAGTCTTCCAAGATTCTTTTATAAAGTCTTTGTTAGTTTCGCTATAATAACACACACAAAAAATAAGTTATCCCTGGTTCAAACTATACAGAAAAACAAAACTATCAGAGCTATATAGAAATCACATGAAAAACTGTATAGAAAAAAAAATCTTTCAAATAGTGTCAGTACTTGGGTTAACTTCAAAGGACTCAGCACTTGATCCGAGCAGAAAAGATAAATTTCTGAGCATTCCTGTGTGCAGAGCAAATGTATACACTCACACACACATACACATACATATCTGCACATTCAATGTGTACATGTATACACATACATACACGTAGATATATGTATACACACAGATTATATTATCATACATGTACCTGCCATAACACCCATTACAATCAGTGTACTCAGTGTGTGTGTGTGTGTGTGTGTGTGTATCAGGGCTTGAACCAAAGATCATTTGCAGAAATCAGAATCTGTTACCTTTGTTTCAATGAGAGCAAAGAACTCTACCTTCAGGTTGCATAAGAGTAGAATGATAAGCTTGCTGCCGGCTTATCCTAAATATAGCTGAGATTTTGTTTTAATTAAGAGTAAAACTATGTCTTGGTCTCGTTAAGCCAGTGATTGCATCCGGAACGTCAGAACAGCTATTTGAGTTACTAAGCCCCAAAGCCCCTCTTTTCTGTTCAGTAGGAAAGAGCACACGGGGAACCGTGGATCGCACAGAAAATGATCTCACTGTCTATTTCTCCCAGCTTTTCTAAACCAGACAAAAGCGGGGATTAGGTAGAAATGCTCTTCACGTGTATACAAACACGCAGAGCAGATGCTTACTCCTGCCTTTTGTCTGCGCCATCAAAATAATCTTCATACAATACTTTTTCTGAGTCGTAACTCTGAAACGGGATCCTTTTAGAACAGTAGTATTAAATTATTTGCCTCTTCAAAAAACAGCCATCACACGTGACCAAAAACACACTCGATAGCGTAGCAACCACAACAAGGAAAAAGAAGAAATTAAAAACGTGCTCAGGACAGAGAACCGTAGAACCGCTCCCCCGCCCGTTTGGCGGCCGCCCCTCCGTCTGTGTTTACCCCTCAGAAGCCAGAGCTGCCCGAGACGCTGTCACGGTCCCCAGATATAGTCCTGTCTCCTCTTTCCTCCGCCGCTGTTTGTGTATTCCCCCCACCCCCCACCCCACCTCCCCGTAACCCACTGAACCAGTCTCTGAGAGGTTAATGAAAAGACAACTTTATTCACAGAGGCTGAGAGTTTGGGATAACAGAATATCCAATGACAGCCCTTCCACTATGTCTCCAGCTGATCGCACCGGGCCGGATAGCAACACAGGCACCCGCCAAAGTCCTTCCAGCCCAGGATTCTCTGCAGCTCACCGGAGGCTTCCTCCCGGCCTGGGTGGGGACCCGGCCGGGGCAACGTTCGTGGATCAGCAGCCCGCGGTTCCACGTGGCCGTGCAGATGCGTTTTCCGAAAGTCAGCCCTGTGCCCACCCAGGACTGAATTGTGACGCCTGTCTGGGGGAAGTGCTTCCCACACACTGGCCAGCTGGCCCCTTTGACATAACCTTTGTGATCGCTTTATACAAGTCCCGGAAACCGTTTTAAAAATTATTTTAAAGGCCCCCCTCCCAGCCTATCTCCAACAATGTTTTGCGCCTTGCTCACATCAGGTGAGATAGAAGTTACTGGGAGGTTCAGGAAACTGAGTTTCAGAGACCTCACGGTAACCCAAACAGAGCTACCCTAAGAGGTTGGGTGTGTTTCCCCTAAGTTCTGTGAAAGCCTCAATTTTCTTACCCTGGGCTTTGTTGCAGACCCTCCTGGAGATTTCTAGTCACCTCTTTAAGGTGTGTATTTAACTGCAGGCTCCAGGCCTGCCCGGAAGGCACAGGGAGGGCAAGGCAGGCTTCAGGCCAGGGGTTCCGGGGCTGGGAGAGCCTGAGAGACCCCGCCCTCAAGCCTCACGTACTTTGGGGTCCAGAGAAGCCCCCTGCAGCAGACACCAGGAGACCCCTCATTTGTCCCCTACATGTGCCCATGCCCCTCTCCAGCTGCTTCCTGTTGGTCAGCCTCACCTCGCTCTGCAGAGGTTAAATGTAGCCTTTCATGAGACCTGACTCTGGAAAATGTAGCAAAACCAAGCTTGATTCTTGAAAAGCCATGGGGAATCAAACCTCTGACACCTCTGAGGCATATTCTGTCCCCCCTCACACCCTTCCCCCTGGGCCTGTTCATGGAAATCTTTAGATCCCTTAGAAACAAAAGCAAAAAGATAGGAGCTCTGCTACTGTGGGTTACATGGGCTGTCTTGACTACTGAGCTAGCAGGACGCTACACCGTAGAGTGCACTTTCTTAATAGCAGTTGTTGATACAGACGTTTTCAAAGGGCAGTGTTTACAGGGGAAAAGAGTCAAGTATTTAGGCAAAGAGTGAAGCATGCTCCTTTTACTGTCCAGACAGAAATCGAGAGGAAATCTCTCTATCTCAAGCAAGTGTTATTGCTCCGGGTGGCTTCTCGACTTCCACCTTAACGTTGGTGTAAATCCTCACCAGGCCCCAAAAAACCTGAAAAGCAGAGATGACCCCTGGCGCCCCATAACTGGGCTTGGGGGACAAGCCAGCTGTAAACGTCCCACCACCCAGCTGGGCTCAAAGCCAAATCCTGGGCCACACAGCGACAGCGGGGGCTGGGACAGCCAGACTGGGGCTCCCAGGTTGGAAGGACCACACTGAGTCTGTATGTCCCGCCTGGGTTGTTTGCTGGGCCCGCGCGTACCCCGAGCGCACGGCACCTGCGGAGGGTAGCCACGATCACGCCACAGGACCGACACTAACGTCAAGGCATTCTCTTGCTCCCGCGGTAGGGCGTCTGTGATGCCCAAGTCCCCTCCGGACCCGGTTTTTTAAACCTCAGAAGCCGCTGCAGGTGCCGGGGAAGGTCCGCTTAGGAGGAGGCAGGCTAGCCAGCGCGCCCACCTGCGCGCGGGGGTGTGTAGCGCTCCCCGGGACCCACACGCCGCCCCAGGAAAAGAGCGTTTTAAAAGAACGTGCCTGCTTCCCCCGCCGTGGGAGCTGTGGCCGGTCGCTCGGAGGAGGCTCAGGCCGGGGCAGGGAAGAGAACCGCGCGCCACTGTTGGCTTTACTGGAAGCGGAGCACCGCGTCGGGGAGCTGCAGAGGGAAATAGGAGAGGAACGGGATCCCGAGCTGGTAAAAGCCGCCCTGGACGTGCGGGTCGAGCATCAGGGAAGCGTTGAAAGGCGGGCGGAGGCTGGAGGAGGCAGCCAGAAGGGAGGCGCCCAGGCAGCTGCCCGGCCCCGGCTTGGCGCCCCCGGGGACCTGGTCCCCTCCGGCCGGCTCCCGGCCCTGCCTTCCCGCCAGGATGCTGTCTATGCTGAAGCTCTTGGACTTGTCGGAGCTCTTCGGGGAGCCGCGGGAGGCGGGGCGCGGAGGGGACTCCGCGCCCTCCACCGTGCGCGCGGGCTGGCCCACCGCCCCCGCCGCTGCGCCCTGCACAGCGTCGCCCGCGTCCTCCTCTGGGAACGCAGGCCCGGGCCAGTGGAGGGGCGCGGGCGGAGAGGGGCCTTCCGGGAGGGGCGAGGGGCGCGCGGGCGCTCCCTCGCGGCGGGGCATCGCGGGGTCCGAGCCCCCTGCCCCGCTCCCCGCCTCCCGCTGCGCGTCCGCGCCGCTCTCGTGCGCCTCGGCGCGGGCCCGCTTGGCCTCCGGGGCCCCGGGGCAGGGCTTGGGCTTCCTCTTCCGGCGCCGGTAGTTGCCGTTCTCAAACATATCCAGGCAGCGCGGGTCCAGCGTCCAGTAGCTGCCCTTGCCCGGCCGCCCCTTCTCGCGGGGCACCTTGACGAAGCAGTCGTTGAGCGACAGGTTGTGGCGGATGCTGTTCTGCCAGCCCTGCCGGTTGTCGTGGTAGAAGGGGAAGCGGTCCATGATGAACTGGTAGATGCCGTTGAGGGTGACCCTCTGCTCGGGCGCGTCCTGGATGGCCATGGCGATGAGCGCGATGTAGCTGTAGGGCGGCTTCTGCGGGGGCTCGGCGCGGCCCGAGGCGGCCAGGGCGGCCGCGGGGGCGAAGGCCAGAGGCAGCCCGGGTCTCTCGGGGCCGTACAGATAGAGCATGGGCGAGGCGGCCAGGGCCGGCAGCCGGGGACTGAAGAGGTGGCTCATGGCGAGCGGGCGCCGGCGCTGCGCTCCTGGCGACCAGGCGGCTTAGGGGCTGCGCCCTGCCCCGCAAGGGCCCTCCTGGGGAGCCGGCCGAGCCTCTGCCTCCAGCTCCGCCGCTCTCCCCTGCCGCTCCGTGCTCTGTCCCTTCTTCATGGCTTTAAAAATGTTAAATAATTGTTGTAAGTTTGCTATTATATGTTGACTTAGCGCTGGAAAATAAATTGTCTATGATAAACAGTCGTTGTGTTCTCAGCCCACCCACATTAATTAAAATTTCATTGCTGAAAAACTCCAAGCTTTTCCCTCCACGTGTCTTTCTGATACCAGCCAATCCGTTTCGGGGCTATTCCTTCATTTGTTTATAGAATTAGTCTGTTGATAAGTCCGCCCACCCAAGTTGAATCAAGCTGTGTTTATTTGGAAAAATTTCCGGGCACCCAATATATAAACGCACTGATCTGATGTTTGAAATATCACGTCCACCCCTTGACGCTGTAAGCACACACACTCAGCGAGGCAGGATGTGGACCGCGGTGGCTGGGAGCAGGCTCTGCCCGGCCAGGAAGGAGCGGTGGAGATGGGGGTGGGTGCCCAGGGCTGACTTTTACCGCTGTCCTGGGGGAGCCCTGTAACCCCAAGGCCTCCCACAAATGGTCTTTTCTTCTCCCAGGCTTAATAGGAGGTGCAGAGATGGCGTGGACTAGTAAAATGCTTCCTGAGGCCCTTGAAACCTTTTAGTTACACGTGGAGGTGTGTCTACCCTAGAGGTTTGGCTGACTGTGGGGGAGGGGACGCTGCCTGTAGAGACTCTTGGCGGACCCTGCAGGAGGCAGGCACTCTCTGGGGACCCAGTGCCCAAGGACCCTCACCTCCCACAGGGCTCACCAGGGATCAGAGGAACAGAAATGGCTCCAGGCGCCTTGCCTCTCTGGAAGGGAAGGCCTTGGGCACCCGGGAGGCGGGAGGCGGAGAGGGCCCCGGGGTACCTGGTCCACAGCTCCGTAGTAGGGGCAGGTCTCAAAATAAACCCGTTCAGAGAGTTTGGGGGGGAAACTAAGGTCTGTCTGGTGGGGCTAAGGTTGCAAGCCAGGAACACCATAAAAGGGGAGCTTGGCAGCTGGCAGGAGAGCTCGTATTTGTGAATGCGGGTCTTTTGCTTTATATTCTGGGCTTTCCTGTTTATATCAAGGAGGGGGGTTATAACAACTTTACAAGTGCACGCAGCTGGCCCGTGATTACATTAAGCATTTGGGAAGCTGCTCGCCCTCCCCCACGCCCCCACCCTGGGGTGTAAGCACCCCCACCCCCGTCTCATTTTACATTGAGCCACGTCATGGTCTGAATCAAAAATCCTGGATGATACAGATTCCCAAGGAGGCCTCCCCCCCCCTCCAGGCACAGGGGAAGGGTGGGGGTAGGGGGGCAGGACATGGAGCCTGACACTTCCTGTGTGTGACTGCCACTGAATATTTTTTAAGGAAAATAGAAAACACTTGGGATAACTGAATGAGCAGTTTCATTGAATCAATCCTGTGGCTATACCAAAGAGGGAGGGGTGAGTGCGGCAGGTGGGCGTGGAAAGGGCCCACCAAGGGTCTCCTGCCACGGACCTCCTGGAAGCCTGGGACAGACACTAAATGCCCACCGATTGGGGTGGAGGCAGTGTCAGCCACCACCACTGTGGCAGAGAGGTGACACCAGGTTGGGGACTGGTTGCGAGTGCTCAGGTAGCCTCCGAACACAGAAAAGAGGGGAGCACCCTCCACCAAAGTGGGGACCCCAGAGTTTCTCCTTGGGGAACCCCGACCCATGGAATAAACAGGCAGCAGGGGAGTGGATAAGTTTTAAATACCCAAAAGGAAGTCGCGATCAGGGTCGGGAAACCGGTTTGGGTGTAGGTACTGCCTGAGGGAGCGCCGGCCAGGCCCTGGGCACCTCCAGCCTCCCTCCCGGGGCGCTGCCTTTCCTCTGCCTAGGCCAAGAGTGCAGCCCAGCCCCCCGTGGCCCAGGTCCTGGGGGTGGCCCTCTAGCCCAGAGGGGGCGGGGCGCTGTCCTCTGCTGACCCCCTGCTCTCACCGTGGTCGCACCCCTTTCAACTCTGGGGTGAGAAAAGAACCCCAATGCCCCTGCCTTTGTTATCGGGGGGCCCCACAGTCGCTGGGGCCACCCAACCTCTCCAGACCAGCGAGCGCCCAGCAATTTCAAATTTGGATCCAACTCCTCCGTTTCCCGTTTCTGCGCGTGTGTCGAATAGACCCAGACGGAGAGATAAAGCGATGTCACCATGCAGGCCCCTCCCCCACCTGCGCGCCCCGCGGCCCCTCCTGGAGGTCCCCAGGCACCCGAAGTCCAGCACGCACATCCCTGCCTCTCCCGAAATGCGCGCTGTCCCGGCGCGTCCTCTAAACTCTAAGGCAAATCGGAGCTTGAATTCATGCAATAATAAACAGCGCCCAATTTGGTCATGGGCCGGACGCGGGCGGAGACAGGCGCGGCTGGTGGGCGGGACACAGATAGTAAAGAGAGAGAGAGGAAAAAAAAAAAAAATACCCGAGTCCTAGTCGCGGTTTGGAGGCGCAGACACACAGGCCGTGCGTTTGCAGAATTTTGCAAAATCTCCGGGAGGTTTCAGCTGTAGAACTCCGGTGTTGCGCACGGCCCGGAGAGAAATTCTGGGGTCCCAGGTGAAGAGCTTGTAACTGGAGCGCCGGAGGGGCTGCGGTCGGAGGGAACCGCGCCGGGGCGCACGCACTTCCATGTTTCCGGGGAGTGCAGGCACCAGCCCCTGGCGCCCCGGAGCGGATGCGCCCTCGTGCGGAGGCTCCGTGGGCTGAGGACGCAGCGGAGGCCCGGTGGGGGCGGCCGCGCCTGGGACACGGCTGGGCGGGGAGGGTGTCCCAGAGAGCCTGATGGGGACGCTGACAGTTCCCTGCAGGTTCATAAGCCTTCGGGTCCCAGAAAAACGCGTCGTCTCCGAAGTCAGTTGGTGAGAACCCATCTCCCAGCCCTGAGACCTCCGCCCTGCCGGGACGCTCCAGACGATGGTAGTGTTTCCGACTCGGGGCCCCCACAGAAGCTGGGTTCAGCGTGGGATGAGGGCAGACAGCCCCGTCCCCAGTCCAGGGACACTGCGCTCCTGGGGAGGCGGTGGGAGCCCAGGCACCAGGAGGGAAGGAGCGCGGAGAGGGTGAGACTAGAGCTCCTCCCAGGCCTCCCGCCCACCCCCATCCACCCTCCCCTGCTCCTCGGGAAGATAAAAACACACACCCATGTTAACCACATCTGTGTCACCTTTCCAGGTATCTGCACCATTTTTCCAGGCGTAAAGAGAGTTAACAAATGTCACATGTGTGAATAAGTATGTGTGGATATGATTCCACCATATGTGCTGTGGGGACACAGCGCTGAGCTCGGTCACCTCACTGACAACCTAAAAACATTAGTGACGGAGATGATAATTATAACTAAAGTTTATTGATTCATTCCACCCTCAGGGCGACCCTAAGAAATAGAAACTGTTGGCATTCCCATTTTGCAGACCAGAAAACCGAAAACCCAGCACATTAACTGGCTGCAGGTCTCCCTGCAGAGCAAGTGTGTCCAAAGACAGAAGAACAATGGCATTGTAACAGCGACCACGCCCCAAAACTCAGGGCCCTGCGGGAGGGAGTTCTCGTTCAGGCTCACAGCACCTGTGAAAGGCATGGGTGTCGCCCATTTTACAGATGACAAAGCCGAGGCCGGGCACAGAACACCCCAAGACCACAAAGGTAGTAAGCAGCAGAACAGGGATCAGAACTCACATGGCCGTGCTCAAAGTCAGAGTGTCTGCAGCGGAGGACGGCAGAGGGGCCCTCCAGAGAGGACAGGCTGCTGTCCCTGGAGGCGGAAGATTTCTGGAGCTGGGGAGCAGGGTCCTCCGCTGCTTTTCTCGGAGGGAAGTGTGCCTGAGTGTCCCGGACATGAAGGGACCGGCCACCCGGCCCAGCCAATTAAGTGGGACCCAGAGAGCAGGGCAGGATTTTCCAAATGGCTTCTGTAAAGCCCACCTTGTTCTCAGAAATGACTGAAAGGCTCTAAACTGGGCAGTTGGGGCACATGCACGTCCCTGCCCAAAGCATGGCCCATATGCCAGTTAACTGAGACCAAAGGATCCTTTCTCTTCTCCAGATAAGTCCTAAGAGCTGACAACGAGCAGTGAGCCCTTACCACAGAGAGAGGGCCACGGAAGCACTGTGCCAACCTGTGTTAGGTTCCCGAGTCCTCGGGATGACCCTGGTCAATGATCCTGTCATTTTTTGCAGTTGAAAAACCAGCCCAGAGAGCTTAGAGTAAGTAACCTGGCTGAGGCCGAGTGAACCCTCAGTTGGCCTGTTTGGAAGGGCCCGAGTTGGTGCGTACAGATTCCACCTTAGACAGACCTCACTGGGGAGGTGGCTGCAAAACAACGGGAGGCAGAGCGGGAGCTTGGGCCAGAGGCTGCTGGGCAGAGCCCACAGGGTGCAAGCCTGGGTGGGCACACACTGAGAGCACAAAGCTGCACGCCAGGACATGGGCGAGGGGGAAGCCTCCCAGCTCCATCCGCTAAAGCACCCCGGGCTGCCAGTGCCCTTGTCTACTGCACCCCTTCCCTGCATTTAAGCTTGTCACACACTCAGCCCCAGGATCAAGTCCCCACAAGCCTGACGCTTGGAAAAACCCAGCACTCTGGGCTGGGCACAGTGGCTCATGCCTGTGGTCCCAGCTACTCCAGAGGCGGAGGTGGGAGGATCCCTTGAGCCTAGGAGTTCGAGGTTGCTGAGGTTGCTGTGAGCTGTGATCGCACCACTGCACGCCAGCCTGGGCGACGCTGTCTCAAAACAACAAAAACAAAAACAACCCTGGCACTCTGCTTTCACTGCGGTGCAGGAACGCAGGAACGTTGAACAAGTAAAGCACAAGTTGAAGGTAAGTGGCCTCTTCCCAGACCCCGGTGGCTGTCCCCGACAGCGGCTGCCAGCCTTCCAAACTCCCCTGAAATGTTCCACCGCCTTCCCTACATGCCTATGTCAAAAAGCAAACATTTCAAACGCCTGGTGGAGCTGAGGCCATGCAAGAAGGAGGAGGCAGGGAATGCTTCTCGAAGTTTGGGAAAGCATTTCAAGTATGTGGAGCAAGAAGGCACTCACTCACCGGGAGGCAGAAGGGAGGGACCTCTGGGTGCTCTGACCAGCCTGTCCCACTCACCTGGAACGGGGGCACTGGACCCTAGAACGCCAGGCCAGCCGCTCCTAGCCTAGCGGGACCTAAAGCATAAAACCTCAGGTCTGTAACGACCCACCTTCCCGGCACCGTGACAGGCAGGCAGGAGTGCACAGTCTGGCCCAGGCGGAGGTGCCAGCCAGGCTCAGCCCCCAGCACCTTCCCCAGGAACGTGGCTGTGCCCATTCATCACGGGGTGTCTTTTTCTCACTGTCTCTCTCCCCACCCAGCCCAGGTTCTCCATCAGCCAACCTTGCCCATCACCCCCTCTCCTGGATTTGGGGGTGGGATAAGGCGTGAGTTGGCAATCCCAAACCAGCAGGGCCGCTCCCAGGGGTGAACTGGCAGCTCCGCTCTCTGGACTCTGAGCGAAAGCCCCAGCCCCTCCCAGCCCCAGGCAGCGACCCCCGGGCAGCCGTGGGGTAAAGGGAGGAGATGGTCCCCGGAAGATTTATGAGCCAAGCGCCCAGGTTCCCAGGACCCTTCCTTTTCTCCTCCTGCTAACTCCTGACCTGGCTCCTTGGTGGCAGCAGAGGGCAGCGGCACAGGGCAGGGCTCACTGCAGGAGCCCTGGCTGTGCCCAGACAAGAAGTGCAGGAGACCCTGGTCACCTGGTCATCTTGTAGGTAAAAGAACTGAGGCCAAGACGGGAAGGTGGTTTGTGCACGCAGCGAGAGGTGGCCTCCTCTGTTCCTGGCCCAGTGCTGAAGCAATTCCTGGATGCAAGTCACAGCAGGATTTGCATCTGCAGGGACAGGCCACCTGATCCAGGGCAGCGAGGACCGCATGGCCACGGACCCAGGCCTGTTCTCGGAGAGGCCTGGGCATGGCGGGTCACTGGCAGTCCCTCTTCCTGACAGCTGCGGCTTGGGGCTTAGCCCTGGCGTCCCACAAGAAGCCGGATCACAGGGGCTAGTCCAGCTGCATGCAGCCTCTCTGGGGCTGGGGACGTGAGGGGCGCTCAGAGGCCGTGGGGTCTCCCCATGTGGCCCTCATCTGCCAAACCTGGACTCACATGAGGGTCATAGTCCCCCCAGCCAAAGCCAGCTGGGGACGCAGGGCTAACTCTGTGGGAGACAGCCTGTCACGGTGTTCCGGTTACTTTCGTTTTATTTGCAGTGTCTGCGATCTGCCCATCCATAGCTTCTTACTGAGTCGGGAAAAACACGGTCGTTGGACAGGTCTCCTGCAAACTGCCTGTCTGTGGATGCAGACAGCCCCCCAACCCCAAGTCCCAGTGGCCTGTGTGTGGCAGGCCACTCCGGCCCTTCCACCCCCAAAGTCCTTTCCCGTTTCCCGAAGGGCCCAGGGCTTCCCTAGGACCAAATGGCAAAGGAAGGGGCAGCAGATAAGTAGATGGAGCACTGCCAGGCCCCTGCCCAGGCATGCTTTTTGGGTGCTGGGCAGCAGACTTGCACACCTTGACTGACAAGAGGCACAACTGTCCCTCGGGCCATTTAGCTCTGTGTCGCTCACAGCATCCAGCTGTGCTATCTTCCCACTCTGCTGCCCTGAAGCCCCCAGGCCTGAGGTCTACACCGGCTGCAGCTGCAGGAGGCCATGGTGAGCAGAGCTCTGAGCCAGCTCGCAGCACATGGCCAGGCTCCCTGCACCTACCCCAGTCCCCGTGGCCTCGGACTGAGCATCTCCCAAAGTGCCCAGACCTGGCACAGCCCAGGAGACTGGCTCTCTGCCCCCTCCAGAGGCCTGGATAAATCCTCCAATACAACTCCCCAGCTGTTCACATTCCCAGGGGAATAGAAAGAACCCCCCCTCCCAGCCCCCACCCCACCCTGTGGCCCTCACAAGGGGTAGGAAGAACCTTCTGGAGCCACCCACCCCCACACTGCAGGGACTCCTTTAAGAAGCCCATCCCAAAGACCAAAAGCCCAGCGTGGTCTCATGAACAGTCCCGGGAGGGGTCTCCCACCCTCACCGGCCCACCTTTCTCACTCCTCTAGTCCGATGTGTGCCCCTGGCCTTGTCATTAATTGGGCATCAAGGGCTCTAAATCTTACGATGAAGGCAGCTGAATGCAGGGACACCTCTGTGAAACATCTGGGGAAGGAGAAAGCCAGCTTGCTTGGGGTCCAGCGCACGCTACTCTCTTCCTGGGGCAACTAGCACGAAGAGCAGAAGCAAAATGAAACCAGAGTAGCAGAAGGGGGCAAGGAGCCCAGGCCACATTACCCTACCTGGTAGAGAGGGTCTCTCTCCCCCACCCACCTCCTTAGTTTTCCTCCTCCTAAAGCCGCCTGGCCTGGGCCCCACTGAGGGCCGAGCACCCAGGCACCCCGGCTCCCACTTGTTGTAAAAAGGAACAAACCACAGCCCTTAAATCCTAACTACGGGCCACCTCTAGGGCCACAGCTTGAAAGAATCTGCGTTGCACATATGGGGAAAATTATTATGCTTCGAATTTCCCCTAATTCTATTTCAACACAGCATAGAGATAAAAACGCTACGCTTAAAACAACAACAAAAACAACAACACCCAGGTTCGGTGCTACTGCATTAAGCAAAATCACCTTTGGCAAAATCGTCATCCCCTGAAATGTTTTTTCAAAGAACTTCACCCTTGGCGAAATACAGCTCACCTGCTGGGATGGGGATTGGCGGAGCTCTGGTCCCAAAATTCACACGGAGAGGCCAGCAGGGGAATGGTAGGTTTCAGCCAGTGAAACAGACCATAAAGCCTTTCTCCCGGCCACATGTCACAGCCACATAGCTATGTTGCTACTAAAAATTTAAAACACGAGAGATACCAAAATTGAAAAATAATATCTCTATGATGTCACATCTTGAAAATGCTAATACATCGAGGGCTATGGAAGCGCTGTACATTAGTACTGAGGGGCAAATGAGGTTTTAAATTTTTTTCGCAGCAATGAGGGTAAAGATTTAGAAATCACAGTGAGAAGCAAAGCAGTCTGAAACTCCCCTACGATCCGGCCACAGGAAGGGATAAACATTAGATGCTGGAGAATCAATGACCCTCAGACCTTCACCAGCCCAGTTCAAATTTTCTGGAAAACCATTGCAGTGGGTGAGGAAGTCCGCATTTTAGGAAATCGAGGGGAGGCAGCACTCACCGTGGGTTGTCAGTTAGCAAATGGGAACCCTTTATCCTTCCTTTCTTCTCTCCTAAATTGGGGACAGCTGGACGCTGAGATGGAGTGGCACTGTTTGTTTTACAACTGGCGTGTTTTCCTGCATTTAACAAAATGCATTACAACAAGCTCACCACCCCTCAGGCAGCTCAGTCCAACCAGGCTGGTTTCTCAGAATTGCCTCCAAGAAAAAAAAAAAAAAATCCCAGGGTGGGATTCTTTAATTAATCATAAAGCGTTTTTCAGTCACTAAACAAGACAATAGGTGACTGCTCCCATTTTCTTGTAATCCTCTTTACATATCTACACGAATACCCACCTGCGTAACAACAAAAATAATCAGAACAGGTAGGCTTGCAAACACACCTTGTTTTTAAAAACTGCAAGAACACAAACACTGTCCGAACTTTGGGCAGAAAAACAACATGGGTTTATTTTAAGGTAAGTACAACAATTAAGACCACATAAGACAAACACAGATGAAGTTAAAATTTTTGGTGTTTTGTTTTTTTTAAAGGAATACTCATGGTGGAATCTACTATACAAAACCATCGCACTTTATCAATATAAAAGTATCAGATACTTGATTTCTTTATCCATCAGCAAAAAAAAAAATAAATTATTTTCTTGTTTTGTAAAAGATCTACAACTGGGAAAAAGAATTATAGCTCATCATGGTACAGGAAACAAAACCCACATAGGTTTCTTGAATTCAATTTGGCAGTTAGAAATGGTTGGGCAAGATGAAAAAAATTATCCAGTGAACTCAACTTTAAATATTATATTAATGGCTCTTAACATCAACAACGACAACAAAAAATAGCCTGATTACAGATCCACACATTTGTACAGCACGGTTAGAGAAATTTAAAATTACACACAGCACGTACGTTGTCTATAGAGACCCCCATACACCTGTGGCGGTCTCTACAGAAAGTCATTAGTGGGTCGCTACGGGATTTGGTCCATAACTTAATCTTTGGACCCCCAGGTGGAGCCGAGCACAGCCATGCTGGTAGGGGGGAGAGGGATTTTAAAATCGGCATTCACTGCGGCGGATAGAGTTACCTGCACGCCTCGCAGACCGCCGAGGCCGGCGCGCCCGCGCTCTCCGCTGCCGCCGGGTCTGCGCGGAAGCCGGTGGGCCTGTTTTGTGTCTTTCTCCGTCTCTGCGGCGTTAACTGTCTGAGCGGGCCGGGGCTGGGAGCGAAGCGGAGCGGGCCGGGGCAGGCGCGGCCGCGGGGGCAGGTCAGTATTTGGTGCAGTCGTAGGAGTAGGGGCCCCCGTGGCGGTACAGCGACGGCGTGGACCGGTAGGGCAGCTGGCAGCTCGCGTTGCCGCTCACCTGGGACTCCCCGAGCGCCGAGTTCTCAAGGCCCAGCCGGTGGGAGCTGAACATCTCCCGGACGTTGGGGAAAGTCTGCTGCTGGGCCGCGAACGTGTGGCCAGGGAGGTGGTTCAGGTCCCCGCTGTGGTTCAGATACCAGGAGGCCGCCTGCGCAGCGGCGGCCGCGGGCTGCGGGGCCGGCTGGGGCTGCGGAGCCGGCGCGGGCGGCGGCGCCTGCGGGTGGTGGTGGCCGTGGTGCTGGTGGTGGTGGCCCGCGGCGGCGAGCGCGCCCTCCTGGCCGGCGGCGAGGTTGAGGGCGCTCAGGGGCGACGTGGGGCCGCTCGGGTGGTCCGAGAGGGCCTCGTCCAGGGCGGGCGGGACGCACATGTGCGCCGGCCGCTCGGCCCCGGTGTACAGGCTCATGGCGCGCATGCTGCACTGGTAGCCCCCCGCGGCCCCGGCCTCCAGGCCCTGCGCGCACGGCTGGCCGTAGGCGGCGGGCGGCGCGGCGGCGTAGGGCAGCGCCAGCGGCTGCACCACCAGGCCCGCGCGCCCTGCCGCCGGGCTCAGCTCGCCGCCCGGCGGCGACGTTCGCAGAGTCATGATGTTCTCCACGCTGAAGCCGGGCAGCCCGTTGGGCGCGGCGGCGTGGTGCTCGGGCAGCGAGCCGTCGGGGGACGCGGCGGGCGTGGAGGCCGCGCTGCGCGGGCTGCCCTGCAGTGCGCTCTCGGGGCTCAGCGTCTCCACCTTGGTGATGACCGGCAGCGCCGGCGACGCCGCCTCGCTCTTGATGACCACTTTCTTCTCGGCCTCCTTGGGGGCGTCCGCCAGCGGGGGGCCGGCCGGGGCGCCCTTGGACGCCGCGGGGGGCGGCTCCTTGAGGTGGGCGCGCTCCTCCTTCTCCTTGGGCACGTCCTTCTTTTTGAAGCGTCGCCGGCGCCGCAGGAAGCTGCCGTTCTCGAACATGTTGTAGGAGTCCGGGTCCAGCGTCCAGTAGCTGCCCTTGCCGGGCTTCTTGTCGTCGCGGGGCACCTTGACGAAGCACTCGTTGAGCGACAGGTTGTGGCGAATGCTGTTCTGCCAGCCCTGCTTGTTCTCCCGGTAGAAGGGGAAGCGGTCCATGATGAACTGGTAGATGCCGTTCAGGGTGATCTTCTTCTCGGGCGCGTTCTGGATGGCCATGGTGATGAGCGCGATGTAGCTGTAGGGCGGCTTCACCAGGTCCTTGGGCGCCGCGGGCTGGTGGTGGTGGTAGGGCGCGTAGGAGCGGCCCATGCCCGCGCCGTACTGCTCCGGGTGGCCGGAGTAGACGCCCATGGGGCTGGCCATGCCGCCGTAGCTGCCCGCCGCCCGGTAGTAATTCTGCTCGCTCAAGTAGGGCACCACTCCCAGGGCGTTGGGGTCGGACACGGAGTAGCGCGCCTGCATGCTGCGTCTGCGACGGCTCGCCTCCGCCTGCGCGCACGGGCTGCGGCCGGGGAGCGAGGAAGGCCCGGGAGCGAGAGCGACAGCGAGCAGTGGAGAGAGGAAGGGACCGGCGGGGGCGGCCCGGGCTCCGGGAAGCTCGGGGCGAGGTGGAGGAGGCGCCGGTGCTCGGGCCGAGAAGGGGCGCTCGCTTTCAGCGGACCGGGCGGATCAGCATCCTGGAGGGCGCGCCCGGGAGGCGAGCGCGGCGCCGGCCCCTGCTCGCTGCTCGCGCTGTGGACCCGGCGGGTGGCAGCCGGGCCGGGCGGCCGGGACCGAGCCGAGGCGCCGCGGGCCCAGTGGACCGAGGCGGGACCCCCAGTCCGCGCGAGGACGCGGGAAGGCGGCTCTCCAAGCCCCCCAGCAAACCGGCAGCGCCGAGGGTCGACGAGCCGGGGTCCAGAGTGGCTGCGCCGCCGAGCCCGGAAAAAGAGGCCGAGTCCCTTTTAGGGATTGGGAAAAGTTTCAAAAGTCTTCTTGCTGAAAGCGAGTTTTTACTTTCCTCGGGCCACGCCCCCTCCCGGAACTGCGGACCAATCGCCCAGCAGCTCAGGGGAGTTGGCACCAATCAGGGCGAGGAGCGCCGGAATCCGTCGGCTCTAAGACCCAGGCGCGCAGCACCGGGCTTTTCTGCAGCTCAGCCTGAAGTTGAAAAGACTTAAAAAAAATAAAAAAAAAAAGAGTTAGAGCTTATTAAGATTTATTTTATTATCACATTTTGGTTAATGGGCCCACATATTCAGAACAAAAAATAACGACGTTCCTTTGCAAAAAAAAAAATATTGGCTTGAAACATAGAGTAGAATTGATGAATGCAGTCAAATATCTCCCCCAAAGACCTTGCAAGTAGCAGCAATCCTGGGACAGACACCTTCATTAATGAGCGATGAAGCGAATAATTAGGGTTCCTAATTATGGGGGCCCAGGTGTCATGGATTCAGAGCAGACGTGCCCGCCGGATTGGACCGGCCAGGGCCTCGCCGGGCGTCGTTCTCATTTAATCAAATGACCGTGGCCAGCGAGTTCCAGGCTCGGGGGCGTCAAGAAGAACCTACAAAGGTTTCAGAGGCAAACGGTAGACACTGAACCCCCCTCGCCCGCGCCCGAGGAGCCAGGCCCTCGTCTATAGGGCAAGGGCTGAGCGCAAAGGTAGCAATGTCTTGAGAATTTATTCCTCCAAATTCGCCACGAATTCGGTCCATCGTCCCCGTCACCACGAGCAGTTTTGTGGGGTCTGGGGAAGACTGTTCAACCCCCCTGCTCATTTCCCCTTCCCTCTCGCGCGTAGACACTCGCAGCCCACCCACTCCAGCTTCCTTCTCCGCGATATAAATTCCCCTTTGACTCGCCGACTCCCGCGCTCCCCAAAGAACCGAACAAAGCAGCGACCCACCGGGCCCGGGCAGAGCCCGAGCTCCTCGGCCCGGCGGGAAGAAACCCGAGCCTGCTTTGCGCGGGGGCTTTGGCCGAAGCCGCGCGCAATTCTCGGGGCGCACGGCGGGCTTGGAGCGCGGAGGCTTCCCAGGCCGGCGCCCGCGCCAGCGCCGACCCCAGGGCGCAGTCCCCACCTCCCGCTCCTGCCAAAGCCCCCTCGGGCATCCTCCAAGTCGAGTTTCTGTATTTTAGCCTTTTTTGTTCTGTTGGATTTTGGTAAGGCGAGTTGGGGCTGGGGCTCCGTGGGGGGACCGGGTAGGCGACTGCAAACGGATAAAGACCCCTGGGGATTACAGTATCCGAGAGACTGGCCTGGAGCGACTCGGAGGTCCTAGTCCTTCAAAGCTCCCTCCTTCCCTCGAGGAATCCCGGACAGTTTGTTTATTTGTGGACTGATTATTTATTCCTTCAACACCTGCAAAAATCAGACCTCCTTCCACCCACGTCCCCTGAAGCGGTGGGACACCCCTCGAGCTGGGCAGAATTTTGGAAGTTGTTCATCCGGTTAGGTAGGGGAGAGGACTTCAGATAAAACACTATTTCTATTTCTCGTTCCCTTGTCCCTTCTCAGCCCTCCCATCGGCGTTTAGCGGATTCCCAGCTGAAGGGCGTCCGAGGCTCCACTCGCAGCTCTCAGCTTCGTGGAGGAGGTGAATAGAAGACGCTGGGAACGTCCCACTTATTTCCAATAAAAGAACAAAAGGAAATATTCATGTGCACTATCTTTGTCTCCTGACGAATTCAAAATCAAAGGGAAATCACAAAACGGTTTCCTATTACCTCGAATATTATCCTTCTAAAACACTGTATTTTTCTTTTTACGAATTCTCTGAGCACTTTCTCTAACTTGATCCTCTCCCCCTTCCTTGTTTTTGAAACAAAGTGAAATGAAGCCGCTCAGTTCTCAACTCATAGGTAAATGGTTTGAGCCAGTCTCCCCAACCCTAAACTCCCACTATGACTTTATTATTTTTAATACCTCTACTAGTTTCACATCCATCCTTTTTTTAAAAAAAAAAAAATAAGAACTCCAGCAGAAAAGTGCCTTTCTCCCTGTGTGCATGACAGGCACGCTGAGGCGTTCTTGCAATTTTACTGGAAGTGCAAGGTATTGATCAAGAAACACTCCTCAGTCTGTGGGCTTCCTGGAGAAATATTATTTACTCTGCTTTTTACCAGGGGTGTGTGTGTGTGTGTGTGTGTGTGTGTGTGTGTGTGTGTGTGTGTGTGTGCTTAAATAGCTTTGTCATAGCATAGGGCAAAACCTAAAATAGCTAAAAACTATGAAAAACAAATGAGAAAATGTCAGTTTCTGCCTGCGTTTGTATTTGCAAGGGTGTACAGCTTTAAACCAATGTCATCTGAAGAAAAAACAATTGAGCACCAAGTATATTAACCAACGCTCCCCCCCCAAAAAAAAAATTGGAGGCGAGAGGGAAGAAATCCTTATAGTCAAGACAGAAGAGGTGAGAGACGTTTTCCTTTGCCCCTGGAATTGAGTTTCTTCTCCACTCAGTAGCACTCCGGGGGAGATGCCTGCTCGGGTTATTAAAACACCTGAACTTTGCAAAAAAAAAAAAAATCCTATTTCCCAGTTTTTCTGTGATCCGCCAGGTATCTTGGATGGGGGGGGGGCTGCCGTTTTCTTGCAGATGTCCCCGCTTCCTGGCCTTATCGTCAGGGGGCTGCAAGCGGAGTCGGGCTCCAGACGGCCCCCGCGTTCTTGGGGTGATGAGCCATGCTGAAGGCAGGGGACGCCGGGGGCGCCGTCCAGCCCCGCGTCGCGGGTCCCCGGCGCGGCCCCACCTGCAGGCGGCTCGGAGGACTCCGCGGGCGTTGGCGCCATCTTGCGGCCAGCCTGGGAACTGCGGCCAAGGCCCGGCCCGGCCAGGCCAACCTGGCTGCAGGGCAGGTGCTGACACCTCACGGACGCGCCTGCGCACTGCACGGTCCGGAGCTGAGCCTTCCGAACCGAGCCAGAGCAGCTTTGCACCGTGCCCGGAACATGGTCTGCTGGGAGACAAAAATGCCTTTGAAATGGCTCTGGGAGCGAGAAATCTTCTCTAAGGAAATTCGCTGAGGTTTGCAGCAAATAAAACCTGCGCCTCTTAGGTGGCTAGAAGTCTGGATTTATTTTTTCAAATTGCCTCGTCTCTGCCTTCGGCTGAGGCTGTCTTTCTGCCCCAGGTGTGGTGTGCGTTTGGGGCAGTTGGTCAGAGAGATTTTTGCACTGGACCCAGGTTTGAGTCATGCATTAGCAAGAGGAAGGCTTGCTAAGGCTTTAGCCCAATCTGCAGCCCCTTCCGTTTTTTGTTTTTTGAGACAGAGTTTCACTCTGTTGCCTGGGCTAGAGTGCCATGGTGTCAGCCTAGCTCACAGCAACCTCAAACTCCTGGGCTCAAAGGATCCTCCTGCCTCAGCCTCCTGAGTAGCTGGGACTACAGACATCCGCCACCACCATGCCTGGCTAATTTTTTTCCTATATATTTTTAGTTGGCCAATTAATTTCTTTCTATTTTTAGTAGAGATGAGGGTCTCGCTCTTGCTCAGGCTGGTTTCAAACTCCTGACCTTGAGCCATCCTCCCGCCTCTGCCTCCCAGAGTGCTAGGGTTCAAGCCATGAGCCACCGAGCCCGGCCCGCTTCTGCTTTTGAGGCACAACAGAGATCCCACTCAAAGAGAGGGCAGGTGAAAGGCATTTTGTTTCTCCTCCATTTTCAATTCATTCACCCCAACATCCTTTGAACACTTCTCTCAGGAGGTGGCCCCGGCGTTCGGGGAGGGGACCAGACCCCAGAGCAGTGCCAGGCGTTCAAAGCTACTTGAGAACCCCGTGAGCCTTGGCTCACACAAAGTCAATGCCGCTTCTTAAAAATCCCTTGCGATCCAGCTTCTAGAAACTACCTTTTGTGGGATGAGACGTGTGTCCCTGATGAAAACTGTCCAGGCTCATTTTGCCCGGTGTGTCTTTTCCAAGGTGGCACCGCTTGCAAATGGTGGACCCAGGGAGGACAGAAAGCAGGCGGGTGGGTGAGGACTGTTCTTGGTTAAAAGCAGCTCAGCAACTAAATGCGACACCTGATCCTACATGGAAGAAATTCTAAAAGCTAATAAAGGGCAAGGTTGAGGCTACTTGGGGGAATTGGCATCTGGGGTGTGTATCAGATAATAATCTTGTATGGAAAGGAAGACTCTTGAGTGTTATAATTCTGCATGGTCAAGTAAGAACACGTCCTTATTTACAGAAGGTACGTGTCAAAGCGTTTAGGGCTGATGTTCCACATCTCTGCAAGCCTTAAAAGATTCAGCCAAAATCTGGGGTGGGCAGAGGGGAGAAGGAGGTGGGACGTGGTGCAAACCTAATGCAATGAGAACGGGACTTAGGGATATGTGGGTGTCGGTTACACTGTTCTTGCCATGTTTTTGTAAGTTTGAAATTTTTCAAAGTAAAAAATGGGAGGAAGATCCATTTGTGACTCTGAAAAATTTAAAAGGGATGTAACACAAATCAAAAGTCTTTCCGTGAAAGGAACTGCACAATATTTAATGAGTGCCCAACTTGGCCCAGTAACCCCCTCTCCTCTTCTGGAAGTTTCTGAAAAACCACCATCAACAGCTATGGAGTTTATCACAGTAACTTGTGGTTACCAAAAAAAAAAAAAAAAAAAAATGGTGATTCTCTAAGGAGTTTATCTGTCTCATGATTCAGGCATTTCCACTAGTAACACAACCAAAGATGCCAGGCATTCAAT